AGACAAATTCAGTAGATACTTTGAAGTTTATAGCTAGAGTTCTTAATGCTGATTTGTTGTTTTGCTTTTGTCAAATTGCTAAGCATTACATTAAAGAGCATGGATGACAAAGAAAATTTGCTATTAAACATTACTGAGTTAAATATCGCAAGAACTCTGATTCATCTAAATAAATTGTAAAAAAGTGAATACTTTCTTGTAAACATACTAGAATTTATAAGACTAAAAAAACAAAGCCATTAGATCAACAATGTAACAAAGAATCAAAAAAAATGAATTGCAAATGGTATATTAATTTATCTAATCCTGAAAATAGCAGTTTTGTGTATATAATTTTTGTAAACCTAAAAGATAACTATAAATTATTTGCTAATAATACAAAATTCACTATGAAATTCAGAAAATTGGATTAATCAATCTTAGCAGAAATTGAGTATATAGTTGTATATAGACAGTATAATACGTATACCATAAGAAATTTATTACAACTACTATTTTCTGATCAACTATTTCTAATACAGAATCTTGCTAATACTATTCAAAAAATCAAATAGAAAAAACAAATTATGGGGTCTAATATGTCTTATTTATTAAAATTTTTATTTAATCAACAGAAAAAAGATCCAATAATATTTGTATAGCTATTAGTAAATGCCAATAGTGATAGATTGTATAGAATATTTTGGATAACTATGAATCAAATTAAGTTATGGTTGCATTATTTGGATATTGTACTTCATAATAATATTTTTAAAACCAACAAATATAATTATCTATTATCATTGTTTATAATCGTTGATAATAATAAGAAATCATATTTAGAAGCCCAAGCCTTTTTAAATAATAAACTCAAGAGAATAATAGCAACCAATATGTGATCTGTACTTGTTTGTTAGGTATTTTTGTTTTTGTTATAAATAAATTCTGCAACAGACGTTAGATGCTACAGGTTATGAGTCGACAATTATATTGACTAATATAGATTTAGCTATGGAGGCAGTATATAAAGTGATTTACAAAAATATTTATTATATGTATTGCATCTGGCACATGTTTTAAAATTTATCAAGACGGCTCAAAGCTAAGCTTAGAACTGCAAATTTTAAGCAGTTTGTTGATGATTTTTGAAAAATGCATAATTTACTATATATAGATATCTTTGAACAATAGTTTCAAGCTCTTTTAGAAACTTACCCTAGCATTAGTAAATATTTGCAAGATCCACTTTATTTAATATGATACTCTTGAGCACGTGCTTATACAAGCTATATTTTTATGGCTGGTATGCAATCAATACAACATATTGAGTTAATCAATACAATTATCTATAAAACTATTTCTTCTAGTTTAACTATATCAAATGTAGTTGAAGCTTTAGATTTCCAAATACAAAAAGAAGTATTGAATAAAGATTTTCTAGCATAGAATATAAATTAACAATATACTACTAGCCATTTGTTGTAGATAATTTTTTTAGTGAAATTAATAGTATAATTAAAAAATACTTTTCAACTCGAATCATTACAGAAATTCAAAAACAAATATGTGAATCAGTATTATATATATGTAAAAAGATATCTATTGATAAAGCTTTTAAATTTACTAAAGATCAATTGGTAAATCATGATGATCAAAAAAAAAAAAAAAAGCTAAGACTATATTTCTATTATATTTTAGAACCAAAATGAATCATATGAAAATTCAACCAATTTAATTTTAGCTGATAATTCAAAAAGTATTGAAAATATCGAAAACTATTACAACTACTGACAAATATATTTAAAGTTACTATTAAATTCAGTTGCGAAGAATTCAGTTAAAGAAGTATAGAGAATTATTCTCTATATAATACCAAACTCATATCAGCATATTGAAATTCTTAATGATAAAACTCATTATATATATGTTTATTATTTTATCTAATGCTAATGCCAACAAAATAGCTTTGAGATGAAGTTTGGACTTGTGCTGATTATGTTTTTAAAAAACTATTTATTGGAACGTTATCAAAAAATTTAAAGCAAAATAACCATATTTTTCAGCAATCTGTATTTATTTAAAAAATTATGATAACATCCAAGAAATTCAGGCCCATCAATATCTACAAAAAAAATAAAATATGGTCAACTTATAGGGTATTTTAAAAAAGCTTTGAGCTATTTAATAAAAAATAATATCTAAAGCGGTTTGGATAACATTATATTAGCATATATTTCTGACAAGAAAGCAAAGCTAAATGCTACAATACAATTGGAAAGAGAGAATATTCTTAGTAAAAATATAGATTTAAATAATATATTGAAGTTGCCGGATAGGCATAATTATAATATAGATGATATTAAAGATTCTATAAAATATCAAGGCAAAAGTAAACCTGCTAGTAATCATATTAAAGCTTATAATAAGAATAAGAAGGTGATTAGTAGTATATTTAAAAAAGAAAATACTTACAAAAATCTTGAGAACATGGTAAAAAATAATAATACTAGCAGACATAAATATAGATTGTATAATAAGACAGAGTATTATACATCTAAATATCTTATTAAGAAAGTTAAATGCATTTGATAAGTATAGTGGTTTGTATTTGTAATTAGAATTATGATATATCTAGTTCAGTTCGTGTCAAAGTAATTCTGCATTTTATGTAGTTACGTAATAATATGTAATTCATATTTATTGATATTGATATTGACTTATTGATTATACTATCGAAGTACTTTGTATATAAAGAGTGAATTTATTCAAATAGGTTAATACTTTAATAAGAAATATAGATATATGAAGATACAAAAAAAAATCTATATATCTGATTTAGTTGAAGGCTTAATAGCACAATTTTATTCTTAGAAGTATTGTAGATGATAATTAAAATCAGTTTTATTTTTTTTTTTTGATAGCAATTATGTAAATAATTATTTTTGAATCTAGACTAAAATGTTATTACATTATATATAAAATCAGATTGGGATCAAAAATAATTACTTATATGAATATATGTACTATAGTTATTGGTTAGTGTATTAGATGATATATTAATAGAATTATTGAAAAATTTTAATAATGGTAAGTTAGGCATAGTGGCCACGAATATAAAGATAATAGTGATAGATTTGTATATATGTTACAGGTTAAATTAGTTTTAGATCAAGTTAAACTTGACCAGATTTTTTAATTAACTAATTTGACTCAGATCAAGTTTAACTTGATCTAAAAACCAATTTGATCTGTAATATATATATAATTCAATAATCAGCATTTTGTAATATATATAAAGTTTATAATTTATATTTGTAAAATTTATGTTATATAGATATTATACTATTAATAGTTATATAATTCTAGCCAATCAAATCGAATCACATGACATGGGACATTGAATAACATATATTGCACTATACAACAAATAAAATTTTTCAATTATATATTTTATTTAAAAGACTACTATTTTTACTATAGTATTTTGCTATTTCCACTATATTATACAAAAATTACTATTTTTAGTACTTAATATACAGTAGAATATATAGGGCGCATAAAACTAAAACACGGCTTATAGCTTTTTTTAAATTTTGAGAAAATCACGTTTAAAATTTCATGTAACAATAATAATGACAATCTATTATTAGTATAACCTGTTGGATTGACATAAATTAGCCAATTACTCTAATGTATTTTTATGACTCTGCAGCAAGAATCAACAATCAGATTTCTAAATTCTAATTTTAGATTATAGCTAACCATATACAAAATTTAAAAAAGAAGGTATCAACAAAAATTTTATTATGTAAATTTATATTTTAAATATCAAATTATCTAGAAGAGTACCTACTTTATATGACCATATAGTTAACTCATTTTTGCAAAAAATGCTATAAGCCGTGTTTTAGTTTTATACACCCTATATTATACTGTATATAGTAATATAATAAAAATTAATTTTTAAAATTTAAAAAAAAAATTTTAATAAGTAATCTTTTTTGGGCTTCTAAGTAAAGTTGTAGAGAAGATTTTTCTGGTTCTAATAGTAATTAGATTATCAAAATTGGTCTTATAGATCTCAAAATATTTGGGATTAAAGATGTGAATATAAAGATTTGTAAATTGGTGGTTATACAAAGTATTATAGTCTATAATACTTTGTGAAACTACCAATTTGCAGATTTTTATATTCGTGTCTTTAATCCCAAATATCTTGAGATTTACAAACCTAATTTTGATAATCTAATTACTATTAGAACTAGCAAAATCTCTTTTACAACTTTATTTAGAAACTCAACAAACTCTAACTTAATAAAAACTTCTTTAATTGGTGATTTGCCAGTTAGTTAGAGAGAGGTCATAGTATAATATGATGCAGTTTACATATAAAAATTAAAGTTTTGCAAATGTGGGCTACATCATTCTAAAACTTTTTTTCATATCAAGTTAACCATCTTTGGACTTCTAATTGAAGTTGTAAAACTTGTTAAGAGGAATCTAATAGTGGTTAAATTGTCAAAATTGGCCTTGTAAATTATGAGATATCTTTGAAAATATTTTGCTGACTATATAAAATTCTTTTTTAATAATACTATTGTTGAAAAAGAATTTTACATAGTTAGCAAAATATTTTTCAAAGATATCTTATAATTTATAACATATATAGATTAATTTTTAGAATTGCTAATAATTTTTGATCTACTAATCTATTTTGGATAATTTTGTTACTAAAATGTTCATTTCAATAAGATGATTTCAACAAGCCCAAAATTGTTAAAATCTAATTACAGGATCTCAAGATTGTTATATTTTTGTATTTTTTTTTTTCCTTATCGGCAGCCTCACCGGTATCTTTATTAGATCAAAGCTAATGTAATACATTATATACTATTTAAGTTATAGATCCGATATCACTCGGCTTTCTCTACGGGTACTCAAGTATGGTCTGCCTCACTAGTTAAGGCTATTGCCTATACCGGAGGGCTGCACTAAGCTAGCCAGCAAAACCATAGCAAGATAGTTTCAAATCAAAAGAATTTTAACTAAATCTAATTGGCAATTTTCCCTTTCTAGACTATCCTCCTTTTTACAACTATTTTCTAAACCTAATTTTCTAAAAATAAATGATTCTATTACATCTCTCAAAGCAAGGTTATTGCCAAAATTCTTTTAATTATATTTGCGTTTTCTTTTTTTCTTTTTCCAGTTTAACCTGTTCTTTTTGATTTGGAAACTGGCTTTTTGAAGTCTTTTAGTATCCTTCTCTTTAATACTTTCTTCCTGTATCATAGCTTCATGTTTTTTATTTACTTCCTGAGAGCTCGTTTCAAAGATCTTTTCTAGAAATATTCTTTTGTAAACCTTCTTTTTTTTGAAGTACAAAGGACCCTTCTTTGGTCTTTTCTTTCTTAGGTCTTGAGTAGTTTGCTTGATTTCTC